TTGCACTCGGCGACGCACCACTTTCCTTCCTTTCTTCTTTTCTTTCTTTTCCCTTTCGAGTTTCCATTCTATCTCCCTTACACACAAAATCACGATATCCTGACGAACTTCTATGATCATGTTACATATTCACGAATTATATATTATATTTCCTCTGCTCTGTTGAAGCTGTGGGACGCGACTGGTTTTCATCACGTGTTAAGGCTCGTTTGATCGTCGATCGATCATTGTTAACTGGTAACCCTAGATGATCCAACTATGGCAAGGCGAAAGCAGGGCGTCTCTTGCTGAAGTCTAATATTTCGAGCTTCCTTCCTTGGCATGATATTCTTGGTACGTTGTATATCCGTAAGTCACAATTGTGTATATCCCCTATGCACTCTACCAGAACATTTACTTCCTTCTAATACAATCGCAGATGGGGATCATTTCCTCGCAGACGCAGATCACGACGCATACTTGGTCAAGACATGCCAAGACCCTCACAGTCAAGGATCAAGTGTAGTTGGTCTGCAGGATCAGTTCCCAACTTGAATGCAGGCCACCCCGACGTGTTTATGGATCCAGCACCCACTGATGAGAATGTTGGCAGAGGTCAGACAGCTGGCACGATGATGAACGGTTCGCCTGGATTAATAGTTTTACATCGGCCCCAGTGGCAACTTTGGACCAATGAAGGTACGTCTCGCGTTAGGGCATTTGCGAACATAAGGCTGGATATTATTAGCCGACATCATTATAGGGGTGCAGTACTCCAACGGAGATGAATAGAAAAAATTCACCTAGTTATTCTGTCTCGCAGAACGTGTTTAATTAAGTCAGTGGGTCAAAGTTTTAAGATAGCACAGACGCCAAATATATCGTCGATGATTATCGTGATCAGCAATGTGGGGCATTGAGTGTTCCTAGTCTGAAATCCTGTGGAGACTTTCCAGAGTGTACATGAGATTGTGACGATCAATTGGAAACAGAAAAGCGCTGTTATAAGTTCCGCGTGGTCTGATGCAAATTGCCCAACATACGGGTGCTTTGGCCATGGTCACCACTTCTTCTGGGGATACAGCTCGAGTCAAGCATCGTACTCTGGCAACATCATGGGCGCCCAACTTCCCTCGTGTATCTTAGTCAATCCGAGTCTTCCGTATTACTGGAGTGAAACCTTTGGTATACCAAGCCCAGTTCTACCAACCCCTTGGGATAAGAAACGAACAATGGAAGGAAAAGTACTGTGAAAGATGAATGTAAAAACACAGATATGGAAACTACAGACGCTATAGCTAAGTGTATAGATTAAAGCGATATCTAGAATTATTTGTAGCAAGAAGGGAGGCGTAGTGAAATCAAGAGCTTGATATAGAGAATTGGCAACGAAAATCATGACAAAATGGAGGGTATCCTAACAATTCACGGCCTGGGTTTCCTCCAATTCACATTTGAAGTGTCCGTCGAGTGCCCGACACGTGGGACGCACCAGATCTCTGCTGATCGAGTTTGCTCGTCCCACAATTTTGGCAACATCTGTGGCTGTTTCTCGCGCTGGAGAGCTGCAACAAATTTTAAGTATCATGTTCACTGTAGACAAGTCAAATTTAACCTACCGCGAGAGCAGGACGCCGCGGAATTCTGACGTGCCATCATCGTTCAAGAAATACTGGTGATTTTTAACCTGTTTGAATCCATACCGCGATATGGTAATGGGATTGAGCAACTATCACGGTTAAGGTTAGTGATAGCGTTAAAAAATAAACAATACAAAGCTTACCCCTACAACTAAATCAGCCATAAGTGAATTAAGCTGATGAAACGCAGGGAACAAGTCGAATGTTCCGTAATGCTCAGAGCGCCAAGAAAGATACTCCATTATGGCGTCCTCCGAATCAAAGAGCTCCTGGTGGGGCGATATCAGTAAGATGGCAACTAAGCGGAACACAACACATACCTCATGGTCCGGTGAAATAAGCTCGTACAGGACACATCCGAACGCCCACCAGTCCACAGGTATCCCGTACTTCATAGGATCTGGATTTTTCTTGTTGCGCAGGATTTCAGGCGCCATACAATGAACAGTTCCCTTTACGTCTGATGTATAATCCTCCCATGGATCCAGGCACTTGGGCTCTTCGTTGATATAACTGAGCCCGAAGTCAGCAATACGCACGTTCTGTCGGATATCGATTAGAACGTTCTCTGCTTTTATATCGCGATGGATTATGCCCATATAATGCAGAGCGTTTATACCAAGCGCCTTCAAAGTTGGAGCGGTGAGGCATCGAAAACCGGGAATGACACCCACTTACCAGTTGTGCGCTCCACCTACGAGCATTCTGGAAGCAGTATGCGGATTGATTGTGCATATAATGCAGCAAATCATTCGTCATTAAATCCTAGGGGATTACAATAGATTTGAACAGCTCAGATGGCACACAGGAGAGAAGCACCTACCATAACGAAACAAATTTTTTCCTTGGTCTGAAAGGACATCTCTAATTCCATCAAGAATATTGTTGCAGGACGACACTGCCCCAAGGACGCAAGACGCTTGTAGACCTTCAACTCGTTCAGAAGACCCTCCTCGGTTTCATTGTGCTTAAGTCGGTCTTTGCTGAAAACCTTGAGACACAACAAGCGACCTGATGCCATATCTTCAGCTCCAATGGCCCTGGCAAAACCTCCCGTTGACAATTGGCGCCAAACACGAAAGGGACCGTTCACGTATGATGGCGGGGACATTCGCGGAATGGACACGTCTGCTGTGCCTGGAAGTGTGAAGGCGGGAATGGGGGCTGGATGGTCGGCTGGCTCCAAGTGAGAAGGGCATAGAAAATCAGGGGGATCTGAAGTCAGGTCCGCCGTGTTGGTATCCCCCGCGATTTTAGGTATGGGGATGGGGAGAGGCATGATGCTGGGAATGTCGGGCAAAGCACTCGATACTTTGGGTGCTGATAGAGATGAAGGAGTGATCAACTTCAGGGTGACCTTTGGGTCTAGCTGGGCGGACAACATGGTAATGACCAGTTATGAGGAGAAGGGGGAAACAATGCGAAGGAGGGATTAGGTGGACGTACTACTTAAGAGTTATCTGGTAGGTCCACAACGCATCTCTAAATAATGAGCTGTGGACGCGCCAATTTCTGATTGTCTCAAAGCATCCACAACGTATTCGCAGCCGTCAAATCGTGCCACCGCATCTGTGAATCAACTTTTAGTGGATAGAATAGAGGGGACTTGTGGAAGCGTACAATCAAAGCACGTTACTACCACACTTAAATTATCGGCAGACTGACAAATAAATCACTACCACTGAGTATCAGCTTATTGTGCGACAGAAAATTGGCACACCACACCTGCTACAAAGCGTCCCGTGAGACTTACTATACCAAAACAATATGATGCCGCGAAAATCTGTATATCCGCAAGGATGTAAGTACTCTCAGTACCGACAGCATAACCATCTGGTCAAGTGCGGCTGACTGTTGTAAGGCGCGGCGGCCGTTACAGGTATTCGGCTTCTTTTCTTTCTCTATTCGCGAAGCGGGCCTTTCAAAATGGGTGCTATTGTGACACGGGCCATGCAGCGGTGATGGCGATGGTCCTCGGCGACTCCCAATTTGTGTACAAGTTCGGTCATCGCTCGAGATGCAAGTTATAGCTTCTCCTGCAGCTATCTTTATAGGGTCAAGTGTAATATACCCAATGATGACTCAGAAGACACGAAAGCAAGAAAAAATTCAACGAGATACAAGCAGCTCTCGTGGAGGCTCATACCAGCGGCGAGCGAATGGAATTTCATGTGGAAAGAATCCCGCTTGAATATGCTTCATAGCTTTACTATAAGTATGTTTGTGAAACCATGTTCAGATCTTGTTCCGCCTAAGCGGATAACATCAGGGACCAGGACCTTATTGAACTATAGGGTCAAAACGCACTTCTAATTCGAAAACGAATATTGCATCTCGATCTGCTTGTAGTGGTCACCGTTGGTCACTATATGCTGATTGTCTACCTGTTTCACAAGCAAACACAATGAAGAGGACTCAGGATGGCGAGAAGGAGAACCCTCACACTTAGGTACCAGCCACCATCGATTTATTCCGTGACATCAAAGTTCAGAACGTTCGAGGTGCGTCCGCTATGTTCTCCCTCCGTTTTCCACATAATGGGCTCCAAGCTGCTGTTGTCAGCGAAGAGTAAAGGTTCGCGACTTCGAGAGGTCCTGTGTAATCTTTTCTGTAACCTCACTGGCATATCTCATGAATTTCAAGCTGATGTCCTAGCTGTAAAGTCGGCTGTTGGAGATAGTCCCCGCGGTTTATAGCTCGAGGTAGTTTGTAATTTATGTTAAGCAGAAGGTTGCTCAGACGGTGGTGTAATTATTATACACCTTCGAGCGACTCTCGGCGACAGTATAACGGATTGACAGCGTTAAAAAGGCAACGACCACTGGCAGGACATATAAAGTGCGTGATGGGCAATAGATGATTGATATGCAAACAGTATTAGTACGCCATGGCCAACGTACTAGGTGTGGTTTGAAGCTCAATACATCGCCAGTACTGCTGACTCATCAATGGATAAAATTGACGGCTCTTAAATGTCATCCAACTGGTCTTAGGTGGATACCACCGCGACAACAGAATGGAAATCTGTTTCTCTTGGACTGTACAGGTTCGAAACCGACAGGTTTTTTTTCAATCGGAACACTCATTAAAAACCGGACGTTCATCTTAACTTTGTCCTGGCTAAAGTGGTTAGCACAACAGAATATAAATTTGTCTATTGGACTGGGCCAATATTCAGGTTCGAAACTTGCTGATGGAAAGGTTTTTTTCTATGGGAACAAGCCAGGTTTCCACAACAGAAGAATCCAGCCTTGTTGTAGGGCAGGTTTGACTGATTCAATCAGTCAAACCTGCCTACACCAAGATTTTTTCCCTCTCGGAAGAAACTTTGACATTCAAATATTCACTCGTGGATGGTTTCGTCGGATATTCATCGTAATCGGTCGTAGCCAAGTGGTTACCGCAACAGAATCAAAATCTGTTTCTCTTCAGCTGTACATGTGTAGGTTCGAAACCTGCCCGATCACAGGTCTTTTTCTATCGGTGCACACCTTGACATCGGCTCGTGGATAGTTTCCTCAGAAATCCATCCAACTGGTCTTAGCTAATTGGTTGACCATAACAAAGTCAAAATGTGTTTCTCCTGCAGTTGGTTCGAAACTTACTGACGAACTTTTTGAGGTGTATAGACCTTTCGAGAACCGAGGACCATGGCCGCCCTTAACCTAGTAGGCCCAGTCATTGCGCTGAAACCTCTTTTATGTGATGGTCTGTCCACGAAAAGGAATTCACTTTCATGTCCCGCGATGGCTTAAGCTTTTCCTCGGAAAGTTTCCCGGTTATCATCCATGACTTATGGACGTTCGAGAAGATGTTTCACTGTAAGTTGTTTTCGCTCATCACTCTCAATTTTTAATGCACTCACAATCTGCATCTGACTAAATAAGACCAACCTTCGCAAGTTGATTGTGTATGGAATCTGTCTATTGAAACACGCTCATTCTTATCACACATATAACATATTGTCCAACAGCGAATTTTCTGCAGCTTTTTTTTCGATTGTCGCCCTGGCTCACTACTTTTCAAACGATACCGCTGATAGCTCGGCCTTTATGTCCTTCAAATGATCATAACGTGTATTTGTCTAGGATGTGTATATGGACGGCGTCGAGTGGCCGAGAGCATGTTAATGTATTAGTGCGACTCCGGGGTATGTAATAACAACAATTCTAGTGATAGCAGTCCGAGTTCAACATAATAGTTAAGTGTCCCGTAGTACCGTATGAAATATAGTAAGTATGTGATGCAGGAAAGAAGTGCAGCGATAATCTCAAGTGCAATTTGACAGCTAGGGGATCATGTTATCGACATTCGAGGCGTCAATTCCAACGAGCGAGTATCGTAATACCTCCAAGGTTCGTCATCGTCCCGAAGCTCGTCGACACGAGAATATCTAGACTTGCGTGCTCTCCTCTTCCGCCACCAGAAACTACATGCAACCACTGAGTCATCACGTTCAGACAGTTGTATGATCACTCACATGAAACCGACAATCCCTGCAATAACCACTATCATGGCAATGATGTAACCTGCCAATGCACCCTTATTGTCTATTAACCATTGTTCCACTTTCTGCAGACCGCCTGGATCAGGATCCACGAATACAAACTGTCTGCCTGGAAGTTCTGACTCGCTTGGGATATCATTTGGATTGTAACAATACTGCGCGAAGCATTGCGAGCAGAAATCTGATCGTAGAGTAACTGCGCGATCGATTGCGGCACATTGCAAGCACCGTCCCCAATTCGGATCTGGAGAAGTTGTGTTTGGTTCGAAACCACCTAACGTATTCCCAAACGCTTGGTTTATGAACACGGCTGTGAACAGGGATGTGTAGGAAAATTGGGTATCACCAGTACTGTAAAATGATATTAGCATCAGCATTATCTTTGGACAACGCAGGACACGTGGCGTACTTTGTAGCTGGTGCGCTTCCATCCAGCGGAGGAGCATTAGGAAGATATATGATGATGGGATAAGCTGGTTGACCCTGAGTGAGATTACAGCCAAAAAATGTTGGACGCATATTGACGCCTGTGGAAATAAACTGGGCAGCACCTCCAGGTATAGGCGGCATCGGTTGATGCGAAGACGAGAGCACTGATGATATCCGATCGGAAGTAGTTAGCAGTGATGTACCACTTATAGGAGTTAGCATTTATTAATAGTAGATTGCTGACAGGTACTCACTTTGGCCAACAGTTTGAATCATCCGCACTACCGTCAATGACGACTACTACATCCACTCCCCTAGCATTAACAAGTAGGCTGCTAAGGGGAGTTTTCTCGTTGTTTGAACCTCCATCAAGGAGTTCGAGTTGGGTTGCAGATGAGTCTTGAAAAGTCAGAGGATTGATACCTTTGAATGGCTGTAGATACTGTTAGGTGGGTGCTGTAAGTCGAAGTGATAATACAAACGTTAGGCCAATTTGCCGCATCCATGACATTGGACGGCGTTTGCGATGACAACTGATTGAAAATAAAGTTCATACCGCCTTCATCTCCATTGGAGGTATCGAACCCAAAGTTCCCGTCGGTAACATTCAAGACCGCCTGCAACAGTAAGTCAAGTCGAGACCAGAGGAATTTCCACGTAATAACATGACATACGTTAAAGAAACTGGAACTTGTACCCATAACAAAGCTCGCCTGATCGAAACCAGTTATGCAATCTGATTGGTTAGTTGGCAGACCGTTTGTCAGATAAGTCCCAGCAAACTTCAGTGGTAGCATCGCTGCAAGGTCTGGATCCCACGACCCAAACTCAAAAGGTGTAATCTACACCATTTATGTCTAGATGCGTTCCTGTACTTATAAGTCAAAAAAGTGCTGACCTCATAAACAGTTGAATTCAGAGGTACAGTCGTGGTTATCCCTGAGCCCGCTGGCCGCGAGTCAGCGGCTACTATCGGAAATGGCATCGTGTAATTTTGAAAGCTCGGCAGGAGAGATATTTGGGACCATAGTTGGCCAGCGCCGTGACTAGTCTGATTGGTATAGAAGTTGCCTTGCGTTGTTTCGTTCAAGAAGTGATATGAAATCATCCGACCCCATAAGTCAGTCACACTAGTAGGACTGAAAAGGCAGATAGGTCAGCTTGATTATAGACGTGCGATGCTCCCGAGAAGAAACGTACAGTCCATTGTTTGCCTTGGACTCAACACTCGCCAGGATACTACCCCAATACTCTTGGTTATGGCTATCGCTGACTAATGGCGACGATGGCACAATTAAGTCAAGGTCCGACATCCATGATGAAAGATTTCCTCCATTCCCGTAAACCAGTCCTGTGATTGACGGCCAATCATTCATCAAAAGCGACCCGAGCAGCCACGAACCACCTATGATACCGATTGTTAGCATCATCAAAGCTTACCATAAGCGTTGGTGCGATAGAACACTTACCAGACGAAGCCGAGAGGTACGACGCGACTTGTAGCAGTCCTCCGGTGCCCCCCTCTTTGGCGGTGGTGTTTCTCCAATCCAACCCTGACAAAACTGCTGCACCATATTGAGCCGTGCGGTATCCCTCGCCTCCAATGGCAATGCCAATTCTGGGAAATTTGCCCTCCAAATTTTCGAAGTTGTATCCAATATCTGACGCATTGCCAAGCCAGTTAGACCATGCGTTTGAGATTACATAGGACTCCCTAGACCCAATATACTCCGATTCTGATGTGTTCAAGACCTGATTCTGCGGCGTGAAGGTTCGCACAAGCGAGTCGGGTGTCTCTGGACAATTCACATTGACCGTCGGAGCATACGCATCAACTGGGTTCTGTGCGACAGCGAAAGTGTAAATACAGGATAATATGATGTGGAGAGTGAGCTGGAGGGAGATGAATATGCCAGGGTAAGTCATGAAGGTGTACACTGCATCACCGTTGTCGAGGAAGACCAAGTTATTTGAAAGAGAGCTGTGTTGGATCTACTGGCTAGTATTACGGTGACCGGCTGTGTTTGACCGTATGTTATAACGTACTCAAAGCGATGAGCGGCACAACATTGTCAATACTCCGACTTGACTCCGACCTATGTAGTACGGTAAATAACGGGGGGAAAATGTCTCTCGAGTTGACCAGCATAACGCATGACGCTCTGAGCCTCTGACCGAATATGTACATTTTTTCATGGACTGCAAGTCAATTTTTCGCACCAATACCACGTGCACCAAGCTCACTTTTCTCGAAAAAATTGACCAAAAAATGTATTCGTTGAGTATCTACTACAAGTATGGTTAAAGTGTCGGAGTGACTACCAGATTAGGCGAGCACGTTGCGATGAAATTGTGGTTGCCGACGCAAAGCCGAGCGGTGTTGGGACCGTCCTCTGCAGCATGCTCCCACCGCCGGAGAATCTCCGCAATGCGCAAGTTTGGCGCAACTTAGCCTTCAATTTCACCGTGATCAGTTCCGTGACTGCTGATTGTACTGGAAAGGATATTAGTATATATATTCCTTCGATGCCGACGTGCTCCCCGAAAAAAGAGATAGTACACGACACTAATATTTGGAGGCCAAGTTTATCACCGGGAAAGCTCGGTAGACTCGCAATCAGTCGAAACTCTCAGAACACGCAAGGCTGAAAAGTTACTGCAACAAAATCAAGCTTGTGTCACGGTTCGAGTCGCTGGGAAGGCGCGTAGCAGTAAACCGGGCAATGAGCCGACTTTTGCTCCGAGTAGGCTCCCTCGACCACTTACATTGCAAGCTCTTAGGCTCCTCAATCGTGTTTCGAACTTCTATCATCGCGGCAACCAGTGGTTGTCTGTTAGTACAACTACATACTGACCTTGCAGAATGGCCTTCGCTCAACTTATTGGATACGGTGTGCTTACCCTTGTAGTATGGAAGCTCGTTCAGAGACGTGCTTCCGGAAAGGCAAACGCCCTAGATGTTGCAGGCCCAGAAAAGGAACACTGGTGGAAAGGTCAGCTTTCTCTGGCAGTCAGTCCAGTGCCGTATCGGACGTTGACGTTCATCGATGCAGGCAACATGGAGTCGATGATTGTGGACGGTTTCCAACGTTGCTTAGATATTGCCGCAGATTATGGTGGAGCTGTTAAGATCCATGCCTTGTTTGGTGTGCGTGTTATACCATCACCATGTATAAGACATCATTATTGATGTGAAGCCTCTAGGAAGAATGGTTGTATGTATCAGACCCACGCGCGCTCCATCATATCCTTGTCAAGGAGCAGCATATCTTTGAGGAAAATGACGGATTTTTATTGTAAGTGTCAAGTATTGCTCGAACATCATTCGTTGACCCTCCTCGAGTTGTAATAAGCTCATCTTCGGCGATGGTCTTATTTCGACGCTAGGTAAATCCGGTTGGTAAACTTCATAGATTTTTTCATTGCTGTGCAGGGGAACAGCACCGAAAGCAGCGCAAAATGCTAAATCCAGTATTTTCTGCCTCCAACATGCGGGAGCTCCTGTCCGTTATTCAAACCATTTCCCATCA